ATTGACATTTGGAAAAAAAATTTATACTGCATATGTTAGACCACATCTGGAGTTTACCATACAAGCTTGGAACCCTTACCTTGATAGTGACATAAAAAAAATTAAAAAGGTACAACGCAACCCAACAAAAGTTCCTCAGGCTTTGAAAAATGAAGACTCACAAAACTCGATGTAAAATGAATTTAAACACCCTTGAAGACAGATCGAAAAGAGGCAATCTTGTTCAAAAATAGAAACTTCTCAACAATTTAAACCTAATTAATTGGCCCGTAATGCCTGCAGCATAGCACCCAGAGCTCAACATCGAATCAGATTTCATTGCAAGATTGTCAGAAACTGCAAAATCAGACATAAGTTTTTTAACAACCATGTAGTGAATGACTGGAACGCTTTGCCAGATAATATCATCGAGGCAACATCAGTTGATAAATTTAAACAACTACTAGACAGTTTTCAGTCATCGTAGCTACTACAGCTCGTCTTTTTTTGTAAATGCCACGCAAAAATGGCCAATATACGAGTTGGGTATAGATGCATGTACTCAGCTGATGATGAGTTTAAAAAGGCTGTGGCTTTGTGTAACTTAATTAACTAACTAATTGATTATCTAACTCACTGAAACATTCAACCAAAACTTTTTTGTATTTGCGCTTTTGTACAGCCATTAAATTTTTATTTTTATTATTTTGATAAATCATGATGTAAGTTATTTCTATTCCTTTATCTAAGTTGTCATAATCTTGATTATTTCATATATAATAATAATTTATGAGTTGTCATAATCTTGATTATTTTTATATATTATAATAACTTATGAGTTGTCATAATCTTAATTATTTCATATATTATCATAACTTATGAGTTGTCATAATCTTGATTATTTCATATATTATAATTAGTGATGTGCCGGGTACCCGGTTCGGACCCGGGGACCCGGCAATTCGGCTGTTTTACCGGGTACCCGGTATCAGCCATTTTGTTGCAGTACCCGGTACCGGGTATCTTCAAATTGATTTTTCCTTAATTTTAAACTTTAACCATTAAACTTCTTGATATAAGTCTAAAAATGTTATGTAGTCGATAACCACAAAGTTCTATTAGCTTAAAACAATCTCACTTAAAATATTTTTTAATACATTTTTGCAAAAAAATTTATACGGATACAAAAACTGTAACGTTAAGTGAAATAATTCGAGAATACGAATAAAAAGAATGGGAAAAAAAGTTTTAGAATAGCTTCTTTTTATTCTGTTAGAACACACGATAGTTTTTAGCAATTTAGTTTTGAATGAAACGCTTATAATTCTTTCGAACGCTGAAATCACTTTTCATTCGTATCGAGCAAAAATCATAAAAGTAGAGATATAAGGTAAATATTATACACATTTTTTATATTTTAATTTCGATAATAATTATAACAAAATATTATTTAGGCCCGCTCCACCAGGAAAGAAAAATAATTTTAAACTAAATATAGTTATTAAAAAACTGTTGCACAACTTTTGAAAAAAGTTAGGCCCTACAACTCAGGCCCCTTACCCTGTATTGCGGGGCTTTGCTAAATGGTACTTCCGCCACATAACTTTTGGTTAGTTAGCGTAAAAAGCGTATTTTGTGTGAATATTTCAGCGCTAGAGATTTCACAAGATTTTATTCCAAATTTTTAAAAATGGACTCGGTGCCGAGTACCCGGACTCGGACCCAGTTTTTTCAGCCGGGTACTCGGAATCGGAGACTCGGCATAAACTGGTTCCGGCACATCTCTAATTATAATAACTTATGAGTTGTCATAATCTTAATTATTTCATATGTTATAATAACTTATGAGTTGTCATAATCTTGATTATTTCATATATTATAATAGTTTATGAGTTGTTATAATCTTGATTATTTCATATATTATAATAACTTATGAGTTGTCATAATCTTAATTATTTCATATATCATAATAACTTATAAGTTGTCATAATCTTAATTATTTTATATAATATAATAACTTATAAGTTTTACTTTATTACATTTTTTACAGATCAATATTTATATACAGTTATTGTTATTGTAACTTAATATCATTGTTATATATGATGACCAACTTAATGCCTCAGCAAACCAAACAAGTAGAAGATTCAAAAAGTGCATGGAACTAAAATAATAGAATGCTAAGTTTTTATAGCTAGAAATAGAACTAAATTAAAAAAATAGAATAGCTCTCAAACTTAAGCAAGACGAAATAAGTTAAAATGTCAAGTTCACAAGGAGGGAGCATGCAATTCAGAATTGAATAAAATTTAAAGTTGGGTAACGGTAACCAACAAAAACTTGAAAAAACCCAATTGATCAACTAATAGTTATCAATTCAATAACTATTGAGCAATAACAAAAAAAGGAGAGGAAAAAAAAATTTTGTTGTTGTTGTAATCAAGTTAAACAACTATAATTGACAAAGAAAATGATAACATTAAGCAATTTACTAAAATTCTTTTTACTATAAATAAGAAAGAAATTAAACCTATTCATGTTAAAAGGTTTAAATCTTGAACAGATTAACCAGGTCCAGTTGTTGTAGAACTACCAGATAAGGCTGATCTAAATCCAATATTAGCTGGTAATGAGTGGTAATGAGCCCGACAAAGAATTTGCTTGTACTGTAAATAAAACTTTATTGTATCAACACATTAGTGATGCAACGTTCTTTAATGATAGTATCGCTGCTATAAGTACTTAAGACTTTCACTGAACCTAAAAGTGTATTTGAATTAATACATTTGCCTTCTCTTGGCAACAACAAACAAAAACATTCTGTATTAATATGGAAATTAGCCAATGACAGTGAATCAAATAAAAGCAAAAGTGAAACATATAAAATTTTTTGACGATTATATTGAAAATTATTCTGAAATAAGTAGAATGGTTGAAGGAATGAACTGGACAATGCATTTTAAGAATTTAACTGTAGACAAAATTTATCATAAATTTTTATTTATTTACTCAAATAATATAGAATCTTTTATACCACAACGAACTAGAACTTATTATGTCAATAGATCTCCCTGGATCACACAAGAAATTAAAGATTTAGTGCATATCAAAAGGTCACTAGAAGCAAAACGCTCATTTCAAAAGAAAATCAGAATTAAAGAATTAAAATCAGAAGAGAAATTGTTAACTGTAATTTTCGTCATCAATTCTTATCCAATTTTGTCAGGTAGTTTGTTCTGATTGAGTCTTATCAATATGGAACAATCTAACATATTTTGTCTAACTATATAACATATTTTATCTAACTAATCTAAAGTAATATATTTTATCAAATATGAATTAATCTCCTTAATATAATTTTACAATTAATTTTTTTTATTTTTTAAATTAAGTTTTCTCAATTTTTTAATTAAAAAAGAAACAGTTTTGAACTTAAATTTTCCCATCCTTGTTAGAGTTTTAAAAAATATCAACGTATTTAACAATTTTTTTACCAAAAATATATACTTTGCGCTGGCTTTATTTTGAGGTGGACAATAAAAAATATAAACTGCCATTCCTGCCAAATTCCTGTTTTTATTATTAAAAACAGGAAATCATAAGATTTCCTGTTAAAACCTAAACATAAATCACTAATAAAAATGTTTCCACCTGGACAACATAAATTGCTAATAAAAATGTTTCCACCTGGACAACATAAATTGCTAATAAAAATGTTTTCACCTGGACAACATAAATTGCTGATAAAAATGTAAATAAAGTGATTTTAAAAATCTTGTGAAAATTTTTAGAAGGTTGTTTTCTAATATAACAGTAAAAAAATTGGTACCAGCTTGTTCAAATGTTTAGTGTTTCAATGAGGGTTAAAATTTTCATTACAAACTTTGCAGTTGTTGCATTTGTTCTAGAAACAATCATTTAATGAGTCTCAATCGAAATTTTTAAGCATATTCATAGTTTTTAAAAATTCCGGGAAACACTCTGACCCCTCCATTAAAATATATTTGAAATCGCACTACCTGCCAAGCTTGAGCCATTGTAGTATCAATTGCAGTATCAATTGTAGTATGGTTGCTTTTATAAGATTGCATCTTTTTTATTTTCTACAAATACTTTCATGGTTGCTGCTCAAACAAGTTATTATCTCTGATTCCATCAATCAAAACTCACTCTCACTTGTTTCATCATTCAGCCAAGTTGCACATTTTAACTGTATCTGTCCTTTCATGCTTTAAAAAAATTTATTCATCTCATTTTTTTACTTACACATCAAGACTTTGAAACACTCTCCTGTATTCATGGCTCATACAACTTTCAACTGTTCTAGTCTTCTGTCTACCATCTACACTATTTCTTATTTTTTAGTAACTAGAAGTTTTAAAGTAGCAAGCAATCAATCTTCACTGAGAAATTCAAATTGCATGTTTTTGTTGCAAGTGCAAATATATGTTGTGTATAAAAATAATATCAAATTATAAGAATTTGGGATGATTATAAGAATTACACATTGGCTGTGTAATGGTCACAGTTCACAAGTCTTTTTTAATCCAATCTTAATTTCAGATTATTTATATTAAAAATAAAGCAGAAAAGATGAATTAAATTTTAAATTCTAGCATCTGCTTTGTTTTTAGAGCAGTAAAATGATTTTTAATTAGCTAAGGTTATTCTTTAATCTTTCTTAAGGTTATCCTTTAATCTTTCTTAAGGTTATCCTTTAATCTTTTTAAGGTTATCCTTTAATATTTTTAAGGTTATCCTTTAATCTTTCTTAGTTTATAAATTAGCACAATTCATAATATTTGAAATTATAAATTAAAGATCATTAATTTCTGTTAATCGTTTTGGTGCGGTAATTCAGTTGTGAAGAATCTATTAAAAAATATTTTTTAATATTTTTTTATATTTTATATATTTTTGTTTGTTTATGTAGTTTTTATTGCTGTTATCAATATTTTTATTGCTGTTATCAATGTTTTCTATAAAAATAGTTGTTGTATTTTTTTATTCCATTTGTTTAGAGTTCGTTATAATGAAAAGAATTTGTTTCAAAAAATAATACCTATTATCACACTTGCTCTCTCTGTTTTTGAAATATTAAAAGAAATTGTGCAGGCATACATTCTTAGGAAAGAATATTTGAATGACCTGAGTAATTATTTGGAGTTAATGCTTTATTCATCTAGCTTTATTTTTATGATACCATTTATTATGCAGCTTGTTGATGTGCAAAAAGACTCAACATCATTTAAGATACAGCAAAATGTGAAGTGGAGTTCTGGAGCAGTTGCAATTTTTTTTGCGTGGACCAACTTGTTACTATATTTAAAACGAAATACTTTTTTTGGGGTTTATGTAATAATGATTATTGAAGTTTTTAAATCACTGACAAGTGTTACCATAGTTTTTTTTATGATTGTTGTGGCATTCTCACTTACATTTTTTGTGCTTCTCGGAAATCAATCTGCATTTTTGTATCCCGGAAGATCAATTTTAAAAACAATTGCCATGACTCTTGGGGAAAATGATTATGACATAACATTTGCATACAATTCCACAACAAATCTTCCACAAAATAAAGATGAATTACCATATCCAGAAATGTCTTATGTATTGTTTACACTATTTTTGATAGTGTGCCCCATACTACTCATGAATTTATTGGTAAGTCTTTGAGTTTTTAGATTGCATTGATTAATACATAATGCATAGGGTTTAGTATGCAAATTTCTGCATAATTTAACAGTGTGGTAGTATGCAGTATTGTAAAGTTCAGTAACCTTAATCCTGCATAATTTGATGGGTATAATTTATTATACACACAAATTGTACGTATAATAAGTTAAATAAGTTTAGAATATTATAATAATATCAAGAATGAGTTTGGCTAAGATTGTTTATTAGTTTTCATAGGTTATTTTTGCATAGTACACATAATTTATATGCATAGTATGTTGGATTTTTTTTTCTTTTTTTTAATTTTTAACTTGTTTATATCTCTAAGCAGGCTTTGTTATGAATAAAATATGCATGACATATAAGTCTAATGAGAAATGAAATCTGGTGTCTAAAAATACTAAAAACAAGTAAAAGTTTTTATTTACTTTTTGTATTTACAGACATTAACTATTTCAAACTAGCACAATTTACTAAATTACCATAAAACTAGTTTAATTGTAAAATCAACTACAAAATGTAGAAGTTTTATTATGTAAAAGTGTCACAAAATGTTTATTTTGCTTCCGTTTTTTGATACAATTTTTTTATACTGCAACTAAATGAATCAAAGTATGCTTATATTTATTTTTGTTTTATATTTTATATTTGTATAAACAGTTTTATACATATATAAAATATAAAACAAAATTAAATATAAGCATACTTTTATTCATTTAGTTGCAGTATAAAGAGATTGTATTAAATATTAAAAAGTGAAACAAATGGAAATATTTTTAAAATAAGTTTATATTTATATAAATTTATTTTAAAAATCTCAGTAGTAAACTGAAAATTTTTGAATACTGCAAGAAAAAAAGTCCCTGGAATAGTTAGTTATTTTATCAGTAAATTTAATTTATATATATATATATATATATATATATATATATATATATATATATATATATATATATATATATATATATATATATATATATATATATATATATATATATATATATAAGGTGTCCTAAAAAATATAAATGTGCGCCATCTGGAACTTGGTTACTATGTCTATTATGACCAAATATAAAAAAAAAAAATTTATTCACAAAGTTATAAGGGCTTGTTAAAAATCTTTCTTTTTTTAATAAACTTAAAAAAAAACTTGTAATTAAAATAATATCTTTCTGTTAAACATTTATTATAATAACAACAATGTGCTGTAAAATATATGTTACATATGTTAAAGAGTTGTGAACAGAAAGGTTAAAAAAATATAACAAGCTTATTTAGCTGGGTTTTTTTTGGGGGGGTCAAATTTCTATTCAATTTTTTTCTGTGATTTCATGCAACCAACGGCACATTCTGCTTCATTTCTTCATTTTGGTAAGACACAATAAGGTCTTGGATCATCTTTATATTTTTGATATCTTATATTCTTTTTTGCACAATCATCATCAAGACATTACAACAAGTTGTTGACTTGAATACCAGGTATGTTTGATCAGGTATGATTCTGCATGCTTTTCAATAGTGATTGAGTAAGCTCAGGATATACTTTACTTCAATTAAACACGTCCTTGAAAGCTGATAAATCATTTAATGGTGCTTTAATACTCAAAGAGCAGTATCAGCAGAAGTAGCTTCAATTAGTTAATAGATTCTAAAATTATTTTTGATTTCTATGACTTGACACATTATAGTCACTTTCTTCCCATGAATTCAAACTTTAAAACAGGACAACAGCATCCTCAAACTTGTTTTGTCCCTATATATGTCCCTATTTTGTCCCTAGCTCTGTCTGTACTGTTCTTATCTGTTGGCTTCTTGAATACGTCAAACGTATATATTTATTTATATTCAAATATATATTTATATCTATTGTGCTAAGTAAATAAATTAGATAAAAACTAGATGTTTGAATTACCATGAATTTTTTTAAAAAGTGAAAATATTGCAGGATATTTCAGGCTCACTTATGAGATATTTTAGCAGTTATAAAGATTGCTTTAAACAAAAATTTTTTTCTCTTCCTCTGGTTTATCTTTTTTTGTACGACATTATTTTTTTGAATATACTTATTTATGAATCTAAAAATGTTGAAACCATTTTAAATCACATGTATATTAAACGGATACAAGTTTTATAAATAACAAATAGCAGTAAACACTAAAATGAAATTAATAAGTAAAATTAATATAAAAGGTTTGAAATATTTGTAAAAGAATAATTACAAAATCATGCTTAGGACTAACATTTTTCATTCCAGGTAAAATTTATCCATTTTTTGTTCCATTTAAAATAATAAACACTTGAAAAATATGACAAAATATATATTCTTAATACTTCAACCAAAAACTTTTTGATATAAGTCTAAAATTGTTATGGAGTTAATAACTGCTAATTCAATATAGTTTTTCTCGATGACGTTTGTCTGACGGGATAAACTAGTTATAAATGCTGATCCTCATCGAAACACCAGTAATAATAGACGCGACTCTGAGGAGATGTTTATTACTTAATCACTACACAAGTTATGTTTACACATTACCATTAATGTTTTTTTTCCATTATTAGGCCTTTCATTGTTGTTAGCATATTTTTTATTTTGTGATTGGTTTTTTGTTTTATAAGTTTTTGTCTGTTATTTGTTGTATATCTTCGTTCCTATTGGTGTTTATAAAACAAATTTTTTTTTTTTTTAATTTTTTTTTAATTTTTTTATTTTTTTATATTTATTTTTTTTTTGAGTACTGTTTTATTATTGTTGAGTACTGTTTTGGTTGTATAGCCTGTCTTATTTGTTTTTATTATTCCTCTATTAATCTTTATTTTTGTCTTGACAACTGTCAAAATATGCTTTGTCTAATAAATAATTCTCCTTTATTCTAATGTACTTCATTTCTTCCCTCAGGCATTCACTGCTCGTGTGTGACCATTCGGCGAATTTTATATGCCAAAGTTTTTAAATAGTATATATTCTGTTATACTTCAACCAAAAACTTTTTGATATAAGTCTAAAATTGTTATGGAGTCAATAACTGCTAAGTCAATATAGTTTTTCTCTCTTTATAATTCTCTTTCTCTTAATCTTTTATTTTCTATAACACTAGTTTTGATTAATTTATGCATATTAGCAATTATTTAGTTATAAGTTACAAAAAAATATATTATACAAAATATTGCAATTAAAAGACAAAAATTAGTTAACAGTGCTTTTCAAAGTTAATAGAGTTAATTATAATTTTAAAGCTCTTGATGATTTTAAAATCATGCAACAAGTTATTGTATGATTTTAAAATCATCAAGCAACCCTTAGGGATAAAGAATATTTAGCTACATTACGCAAACCAAAGTTTACACTTTGGTTTTAAAAAAGTTAATTATTTCATTTATTGAATTATTTATCAAAAAAAAAAAATTCTTTTTAGGTTGGTTTAGCTGTAGGCAATATAGCTGATGTCAGGAAGTCAGCGTACATACTTATGTTAAAAGCTCAAGTTGATATTCTAAAAGCACTTGAGTCAAGATATCCTAAGAAATTGTTGAAAAAAATTTATTGCAGACAGCTAATAATATACCCAAATAAAGTTAGTTGGAAAAAAAGGTATTTAATATGGTTATTAAATTTTATTCTCTGCATATTTTATATTTTTTAAATTAAAAAGCCTGGAAAACAATTTTTTTTTTGAAAAAATTACATCATGTTGGAAGTGAATTTAATATAAGAAGCATGAAAGCAAGTGATAGAAGAAGCATGAAAGCAAGTGATAGAAGAATCATGAAAGCAAGTGAAAACAAAGTTAAGGAGTTAAAGAGCAAGAGATTTTACATTGACATCAAACTGTAAGTTGTAATAGTCAAGAAAGCATAAAGGTAGGAGTGAGTTCCAAAGCACTGATATTTGCAGAAAAAACCTAGATAAATAAAAGTTTACAATATAAGGATGCAACTTTGAGAATGACAAGTCATGTAAAATTGAGTTTCGGTTGTTGGAACAAGTGATAGCTCCCTTAAGCGATAGTATTTGTAGATAAAAAAGGATGTATCCTTATAACAATGAGACAATGAACTTAAGCATTTAGAGCAAGTCTAACAATATTTACCTTTTAGGGCCTTATCTAAAAGAAAGAGGGTTCATTAAAAGATTCAGCACATTAGGAGTAAAAATATGGTAAGCACAATAGAAAGAATTAACCTTAGCAGATTGTTACTTTATGGATTGCAATTATTTCCATGAGAGCTTAGTAATAAAGAATAATCCAAGAAGATGTAAAGTTGTGGACTCAGCATTAGTATTGCTATTCATCAATAACAATTACATTTTAATAATTATTAACAACAAACAGTTTTTGTTTTAAATTTTTTTGATAAAAGTTCATTAGCCATTGCAAGTCTTAAGCTGGCACAAAAGAGAGGTTCAAGATTATCTGCTGGTTTTAAGTAATCAAAAAATTATGGCTTTTTTCAAAACTAGAGCACATAGTTGTGTCATCTGCAAATATAGCCACTTTCAAAGTAATAATGTTAGAAAAATCATATGTATATATAAGGAAAAACACAATATCAAAAATCGAGTCTTGTGCTTCCCCTGAAGTTACTGAAAATGAAGGAAAATGTTATCCATCAAGTGCAAATTAAATACTAAGGATAAAATACAAATGTTTTAGTAATTTAAAAGATACATCTTGTGAAATGAGCTTATGGAGAAGATTAGCATTACAAACTTTATCAAAAGTCTTTGATATGTCAAGAACATTAACCCTTGCTTCTTTGCTTCCATCTAATGCAACTTTTCTGTTATAACAGTCAATGAGTCAGCAGTAGAACAAGTGAATCAAATTTTGTATCAATTGTTAGAGAGTAAATTGTTAGACTCAAGATGATTTATAAAAAGTTTGTTTTATAAAGATTCATAAACTTGTTTTTTTAAGTCTACAGGAAGAGTATGGGAAACAGATTCAAAAAATGAATTTAAAAAAAAGTTCTTATAAAATAGTTCTGCCTTAACCTTCGGTGTGGTAATAAAATCAGGTCCACATATGGGAGAATGTTAGACTTGCTAATGAAATTGTTAAAGTTGAGATTGTTAAAGATTTTTTAAAGGTCTTTAAAACTTAATTTTTGAGATACAAGATTGAGTAATCTGAGAACCTTTGCTTCATACACATACCTTTTTGCTTCATACACATACCTTTTTGCTTCATACACATACCTTTTTGCTTCATACACATACCTTTTTGCTTCATACACATACCTTTTTGCTTCATACACATACCTTTTTGCTTCATACACATACCTTTTTGCTTCATACACATACCTTTTTGCTTCATACACATACCTTTTTGCTTCATACACATACCTTTTTGCTTCATACACATACCTTTTTGCTTCATACACATACCTTTTTGCTTCATACACATACCTTTTTGCTTCATACACATACCTTTTTGCTTCATACACATACCTTTTTGCTTCATACACATACCTTTTTGCTTTATACACATACCTTTTTGCTTCATACACATACCTTTTTGCATTGGTTTCTTGCTATAATAAAAAGATGTTTGTTCTTTAGAAAGTTGTTTTTGTGGAAAAGATGAAATGATTACAATTAAAAATAACAGCTGCACACTTCAAGAAAACCATAGAGAATGAGGTAACCATAGAGTATGAGGTAACCATAGAGACTTAGAACTGAAGAGAAGTAGTAAAATCTTACATGCCTGAATCTAGGAGATTATAAAGGAGGTGCAAATTTCAGCAATTTTCACAAAAGACATCAGCCCAAGTACCATGACAAAAAAATCAGACTAGAACTCCAATCAGCCTCAAGGTAATAATAGCAAGTGCAATAGGGTTGTCCACTATGCAATTTAATTTCAAAACACCAGGGTTGAAGTTTTTCCCATTCTACTATTAGGGTTTCCGGTTTTAGTTTTTGAGTAATGCTACTGTTTTTTTGTTTTCATTTTTTTAATTTTGTGTTTGAAACTAAAAAAGTGTAATTTTATTTTAGAATACTTAATTGGTTTAGTCACTCCAGCTATGATTCCTTAAAAGATGAACAAGAAAAAAGATCTAGATGGAAAACTGATTTAACAAAAGAGTTAGAACTACAACGCATGGAGTTTGACATTGAAAGAAAGAAAATGAAATATATGAAAAGTCTTTTGAAAGAGCATCTTGAGATAACCAAGGAATTAGCTGTCACTTTAAAGATTGATGAAAATAGCTTTGAATAATGTTACAGTTTTTACATTTTTTTTTTTAAATTTTAGTGCAGTATTTATAAAATTTATTTATTATCATAGTACATATAATACAAATAAATATTTTAAATTCGTCAAGTGTTTCTCGTTAGTTTTATGGATCCTTTACCATCACAATTACCTTTACTTATTGGCTTTTGTTGTTTTTTATTCTTGCTGTTTTTTGTTTTGTTTTGTTTTTTTATTGTTTTTAAAGTTGTATAGTAATAAATTCTGTTATATGTAACCATAGTTTTAGCAATAAATCATACTGTTATAATTATCTACTAATAAATTATAGTTATTATTAGAACTAGATTTATTATTATAATTAGTTTGTTGGATTGTTTATAGAGCATGAAATGTGGCATGTCCAATCTACTATATATTAAAAGTAAATGATTAGATGCATTATAACCTTTTATGTAATTGTTGTCTGTGATGATTTTTTGGGGTAACAACTTTTTATAGAAGTTATGTTGATCTACACTCATTAAAAAAAATTATTTTCCAAAATATATTTTTGTGTAGTTTGTCATTTAAATCCTTTTATAGTGAGCCTATGTACTTATTTTTTTACATATTTTTTCAAAGAAAGATTTTTTATCAAGAAAGACCCTACTTTTTGTTGATTTTCCAACAGTTATATTTGAAATGTAATTTTTTATGAATCAGTTTTTGTTGTTTTTTTGTTAATTCAACATACTAACATTAGTGTGTTATCTAATCACTTATAAAATACTGTCATGTTCTCCAATCACATACTGTAATTAGTTCTCCAATCACTTACCGTCATTAGTTTATTCTCCAATTACTTACTGTTATTAGTTCTCCAATCACTTACTGTCATTAGTTCTCCAATCACTTGCTGTCATTAGTTCTTCAATCACACTGTCATTAGTTTATTCTCCAATCACTTACTGTCATTAGTTAATTCTCCAATTACCTACATTATTTTGTCATCCAATCATTGCAATTATACAGTATATCCAGTATACAGTATCCAATTATACAGTATATCCAATCCCATACTGATATTAGTTTTTTTATAAAATCATGAACTTTTTAGTTTGTTATTCAAACATGTAAGAATATTAGTTTGTTATTCATTCACATATTTGTATTAGATTGTTATTTAAACACCTACCAATACTAGCATGTTATCTAATTACCTAGCAGTACTAGCTTGTTATTCAATTGCATATTCAAAATAATAATAAATAAGCAATGATATTAGTTTTATTCAAATATCTTTTTAAAATTCAGAAAGCCTTAATAAATGAAGTCCATTTAACCCACACACAAAAATTAAATTGATATAATAAGAACATAGAAAAATAATTTTTTTAGTTACAAAAAAAATTGTATAACAAGTTGTAATAATAAAATAATTATAACAAAATAAATGTAAAAATTTTATTGATCAGTACATTTTGTATACATATATGCCAATGTAAAATTTGTATACAACTTATTGACTTTGTCAATAAGTTGCTAACACTTGTGAAGATATGGATTTGGTTAGTTTGAAAAATATTAATTTGATCTGGTCAAATAGATAAATATTTGTTTTATCAAATAGCAAATTTTTTTTGTATCTTTAATAAAAATAACATTTTTTTAGGTGAAAGAGTTTTTTTAATAAAGGTAATATTGGCTATTAAATCATTTATTTGAAATCTTTTTCAATTTATATATTTATGAGAAGGTTTATTTGTTAAGTTTTGTATAATATTGGAGTAGGTTTGTATGACCATTATAAAATATTTTATTAATTGATAAAAACAAATCACGAAACTTTGCAAAAATATTACCGGTCAGTTTATGTAAAAATCCAAAAATCAATTTGGCTTGGAACTTATGTGGTTACCCTCTCATGATTTTTTTTTTATTATGTGTTTATATATATATATATATATATATATATATATATATATATATATATATATATATACACACACACGCACATGTTTTTATTTTCAAATTTAAAAACTTTTTTAATTTTTTTTTGCTAGTTTTTGATATATTTTATTTTTCAAATATATATGTGTATATGTATATATATATATATATATATATATATATATATATATATATATATATATATATATATATATATATATATATATATATATATATATATATATATATATATATATATATATATAATATTAATAATGATACTTACATGATAAAAGTAATAAAAGTTTATAATGAGAGTTTTGAGCCAATGGTAAGCATATTAACATGGATAGCAACTCAGAGTCACTGGAGTTAGAAAGAAGTAGTTATTTTGATGAGACTGACATTAAGCTAGCAAATCTTAGCCATGATAAAGAAATAAATAAAGATGAATTTGCAAACTTTGGCAATGCTAATGAAACAGATTTGACTGAATTATTGGCACACGAAAATTCAAAGGGAGTAAATTTAGAAAAAACTGATAAAAAAAAGTTAACTATATATGAGCAACAGTCATTGTCTAATAAAAATTCTAAAACATCTGTTAAGCTTAGAAATCTTAAACCTAGAGTAGAGGATGAAAGAGAAGGTTTAGTGCACGCTGAAATACAATCCTCTGATACTTCTTCTCTTCAAAGTGAAAATAAAGATAATCAAAAAGATTCATTAGATGGAAAAAAAAGAATATCTATGTTCAACTTCCCAAAGTGGCTCAAAGATTATTCTAATGGAAAAGTTGAACAATCACCTAAACCAGAGAAGGAGACTGAAGGTGATTTTTCAAGGTTTTCTCTCCATCTTGCTGCAAAAGAAGGAACTATAGGGCGTATTCAACACATTATTGAAAATAATAAAAAGCAAAACTCAGTAACATCGAAAGAGTTTATCAGCACAAGAGATGGATGGAATAAAAATGGTTTTAGTGCTTTGCATTTAGCTGCACGGTATAATCAAAAAGATGTTGTTGCATATCTCCTTGAAAATGGATCTTTAATCGATAGTCCAGATAGAGATGATGGTAATACAGCTCTCTTATTGGCAGCAAAGTAAGTTTTTTTAATACTTTGTTTTTTTAATAATTTGTAATTAAAAAATTTTAATAATTTTTAAAATAAATTTTTTTTTATATAGTAACAATATATAGTTAGATATAACATATAGAGACATATAATATAAAAATGAATTGATGTTATAAAAAGTTGTATTAGTTTTAAACTGTAGACCTTTTATAACTTGCAACTATAGTTACAAAATATACTTAATAAGGTAATGATTAAAAAGTTTTTTACCTGTAAAATAATTTAAGATTTGCAATAGAATACCCCTACTTCTAAAAATCATATTCTTAAACTAATAAAATTGATATATAATTTAAACTAATAAATCGATGTATTGATTATCATAACTTCCAATTTATCTTGATAATTTATTTATACAGGACAAATCTAAAGTATATGATAAATAAGTATCTATTTGTTAAAAGTGATATTGCCAATAGAAAATATGTATAATGTAACGAAATAAATATTTTAACTTTTTATTTTTACACAATTATAGAACTATACTTCATAAAAAAACCAATTATTTAAAGATTCTTGTAGATGTCATATAAAAAATTTTTATTAATAAAAAAAACATATAATACAAGCCTTGGCGGGAGTAAATGAGTGTGAGAGTGGAGAAAAGCTTTTTTAAAATGAACATGGCAAGACATTCAAGCTGCTCCTCTACGCTTTTTACTAGAGCATTCAGTTTTTGCGTGAGCTATCTGTTTATTCATTAAATAAATTGCTTATTTAACACAAAATTTAATTTGATACTTTTTACAAAAATATTATTAATTTATTTTTTCAAAATAGGATTTTTTTAAACTATTTTTTATGATGGTGGGAGAGAGTCTCAAGTTCGGCAGGTAAAATAGGTCTAACATTATTGATGATACACTTTCGAACTTTGTCTAGAAGGGGAAGAGCATCATTAGAAGAACCATCCTAAATATAACAACAGTATTTAATATAGGAACAAATAAGTAATGTTTAGAGGTAGAAAATTGAATCAGGATTAAGAAAGTGGCAAGTATGATAAAGAAAACCAACTTTAACTAATATAAAATGCTAACTTGGCAATTGATTATATATATATGATTTCTACAGGAGGTCAGTAGTGAATGATAGTCCAAGAAGACATAAAGAAGAAGACTCAGTGAAATAGAAATTAAAATTTACAAGCCACTGTAAGCCCTAATCTGTTACAGAAGCGAGGTCAGATTCTAGATCTACTGCCTGGACCACAAGGTGTAGAAGAGTTCAAATGAGATATGATATTAGCAACACATGCAGGAGTGATTTGAATGTATTACATTTGGTTAGCCTGCTTAACTGGAATGGCAGGAAGAGTATGACCTTAAGATTCAAGAGTTTCAGTGAACTGAGAATAATGGAGCTTAGCATCAAACAGAACCTTTTTACAATGATTTCTTGAAGTAGTAAATTGGCATTTGTTCCTAAGAGAGTTATTCATTTAAAAAAGATGACAAAAATGATTAGGTCTAGTTATAGCAACTGCACAAGAAAGCACACTGATCATGATAATCCTGAACCTTACTTGACCTGAAGTAGTTTAAAAAAAAATTACTTAAGCAGTACTTTAAAACATTGATGGAAATGTCTTGGAAATGCGTTGAGAAAAACATTACATCTAACAGAATCAGGGTTGGCATTAAAAAACCGGCTCAATAAAACCCAATAAAACTCGCCTAATAAAACCCAGGAAAATCTGGGTTTTATTGGGGTTTTTTAAAGATATTTAATATATCTAATATATATTTAATATATATTTAAGATATTTAATAAGTTTATGAACTATTATAACTCACTTTATTATTATAATTATAATATTATTAACTAATTATTAACTAAACTATTATTATTAACTAAATTATTATTAACTATTATTATTAACTATTATAACCAACAATAACAGCTATCAGAGCAGGTTTACTAATATTTGAATCATTATTTGGAAATACATTATTACAAATGAAATCACATTTATGGTACCTTGATGAAACCTTTGTTCCACTTGCTCTTTTAGACCATGATATTTCTGTTTGCAGAGAGAAAAGATGTTGCGCAAGTGCTCTTCTCAAAACCAGTTCCTGAATTTTTTTGGCATTCCGAGAAATTAAATTTGTTAAAAGCTCTTAACTTTAAGCTAAAAAAATCACCAAGTATTGCACAATTAATGAGAATATTTAAATTGTTAAACCTCGCTAAACTAAATGATAAACTTTGGTGAAAGAGCCCAGCACCACTATGGGAGTATGTTGACCAGTTTAAGACTTTTTCCCAATTTGTCTCCGACTTTGCAGTGGTTAACGACATTTCTGAAAGATCTATTAAAGTTGTATCAGACTTTGTAAACAATGTTCACAATGAATACTATTGTCAGGAGTTACTACTTGCTATTCACCAAAGGAAAGAAAATCTTCACGATCAGCATATGAAGCAATTGTAAAATAAATAATATAGTTTTTCAATAATGATTTTTATTTAATGATGAAATATTGAATTGTAAATATATATTTTTTTTAATTCTTAAACAGTTTATTCTTTTTTTTTTTTTGCTTTTTTACAAAAACAACTATGCAGCAATACAACAAGAATCATTTAAAGTTGAGGAGCTACCATATACTTGCTAATCTTGTGGCAACAAAACCAATAACAACAATACTACTTTTAACCATGTTGCAGTTAGTTCATTAAGACTTTTTATCTTAAAAAGAACTAAAATAAATTATTATTATTATTAGGCTATTAAGGTTAGCGTAAGGGTCAGGTTACCTCCAAAAATAAAAATAAAAATTTTCAAGACCTATATAAACCTCATTTGACACTATTATAAAAACTATCCAGCTTATAGTTTTTTATAAATTTTAAGGTTACCGCCAGGCGCTTAAAACACGCAACATTTTTGGCCCAAATGGTGTCTTTAAATAGAGTCAAAACTAAATGTTTTATGTATTGTTTTTCAAACGAAAACAGAAAGAATTTCTAGCTAACAATTTTCTTTATGAAAAATTAAATACCATTATTTTTGTATAAAAATTTCTTGCCACATATTCATGATAATATTTTCACAATGCAAAAAATTTAATAGAGTTTTAATTAGATAAGAGCAGCTAATTACTGCATATAAATTTACGCTAATTATACTGATTTCTGTTATCATCACTAAGTCAATTCTAAAAATACAAAGTAACTTTAACTTCGCTGCTTACATCTGAGAAATCTTTTAGTATGCTTATATTATTCTAATCTACCCTATATATATATATATATATATATATATATATATATATATATATATATATATATATATATATATATATATATATATATATATATATATATATATATATATATATATATATATATATATATATATATATATATATACATATATATATAAATATATATATATATAAATATATAAGTATATATATATATATATATATAAATATATATATATATATATATATATATATATATATATATATATATATATATATATATATATAAATATATATATATATATATATATATATATATATATATATATATATATATATATATATATATATAAATATATAAGTATATATATATATATATATATATATATATATATATATATATATATATATATATATATATATATATATATATATATATATATATATATATATATATATATATATATATATATATATCAACCCTCAGAATTAGGAAAAATGAGGTCGCCCCCCCCCCTCAATATAATATTGAGGGGCAGCATTGCATGAATATTTTTAAAATATTATGAAAGTTTTTTTTTTTTGCACCTCTTTGGACAAGAAGGTGTTGCAAGCTGTTTCAACAACTTACAAAATGCCTACAGAAAAGCCAAAAACGAGAGAAGTAATTTTGCTAAAAAATGCTCAAAAATAAAAATGTTCAAAAATATTAGATAATCATAAAATTTTAAGAGTAAAAATAATAACAAAATTATCTGTTAGTGTTAAGTTAGTGTTAAGTTCAAACTTCATATGACTTGGTCACTGTTGCATCACATTTGTATTAAATTCTACTGAGTTTAACAATTGTTGTTTCAACAGAATTGATTTTTTTTTAGCAATAAATTTTTAAACAAAAATAAGCAGTTTGAAAATGAAGCTTTTAAACTTTGTAAAATAAATATTAGAGATTTAATTTTTAATTAATATTTAATATTTACAGTATCTAAGACATCAAAGGTCTTTGATTCTTAAATATAATAATAAAAAAGTAAATTTACCAGATCTTTCTAAAGAATTTGCTAGGTTTTTATATGATATTTGATAGATTTTTTTGCTTCTTTTTGTAAATAACTTTTGTACAGAAAATTTGCTTTTAAATTTAGTCAACACTTCATTTGAGTTTTTACTTGTAAAAAAAATTTAAGAATAAATTTATTGAAAGTTATTTAAACCTTTTGTCAACAGTTAAAGTTTTGCTTGCCAGTTCTTTTTTTTAGACCAAATATATTTAAATGTTGTTAATTGATAAAAAAAAACCAAATTCTTAAAATTTCAAATTATTATTCCAGTATTTAGTAACAGCTAAATTAACTTTACTTTTCAATGGGGTCCCAATATTAAAAAAAAAGTTCTTTAAAAGTAGGTCAACATGGTACTCAAAAGAAGCAAAATAAAATATAAATTTCAAAAATAATAATCGTTTTATTCAGGAGTGTGGAGTCGTAAAAAAAAAGTAACGACTCCAACTCCAGTTGTGAAATTTTTTGAGTTCAACTCCGTCTCCAACTCTAATGCAAAAATTTTGTAAAATTCTTTGAATTCTTTAAAAAATATTATGCGATAAGATAAAAAAAATTGAATGTAATGTTTAAAAAAAGGTTAATTGAATGTTTTGTACATGCACATGTAATACAGAGAAGTTTTACTATTGGATTTAAAGTTGCGACTTTGTTTAGTGACTCCGACTCCGTTAAAAATGTTGCAACTTCAACTCCACAGCCCTGGTTTTATATTAAATATATTTTTTAAAATTTTTTATTAAAAACTTGTATTGTAAAAAATGTTATTTTTTTATTTTTTGTTAAAAAGCTATACTTTTTATGCAATTAAATATAAAATAAAAATTGTGAAATATGAAAAAATATGAAAATAGTAATTATGAAATGGTTTTTTTTTTTTAATTTTTATATAATTTTGCTACTTTTAAGACCCAACTTTTGTCTTGCATGATAGTCGAAAAGTTTCTTCCATAAACTGTAGTATTTAAAAAATACACTAATAATCCAGACCAGAAAAAGTTTAAAAACTTAAATAGTTTTTTTAAATGATAGGTTGCATGTCCAAACCAAACCCTCAGTCGTTGTAGTAGCACTTCCTTGTAACAGCAGGCTATAATATGGTCGATATAGCAGCACTTGCTTGTAACAGCAGCCTTCAAGATAGTTAACGTAGTAACATTCCTTCATAGCAGCAGGCTATAAGATAGTTGATGTAGCAATACTCCCTTGTAGCAGCAGGCTATAAGATAGAAAATGTAGCAACACTCTGCAGATGTTTTAAAAGATATATTTTAAAAAAAAAAAACTATTAATTAAAAAAACTTTCTAGTCATTATTATTGTGGTTTTTTAAAAAACTGCAATAATGAATAGAAATGTTTTTTTTTTTTTTAATAAAAATAAAAATATTCTGAACATGTAAGGAGTGCTGCTACATTAACTGACAGATTGGTAGAACATGCAACGAATGCTGCTACATCAACTGACAGATAAATGGAATTTGGGCTATTTACTAAAGCATATTTATATGGGCAATTGTTCACATTTTTTGCTAGCCTAAATTAAGTAAGCATTTGTAGAAAACGATGAGGGAAAACGAAGAATAATGAAGAAAAGGTTGCTGACCCATACCAAACCCTCAGTCGATGTAGCAGCACTCCACTGCGAGTCAGGCTATTTGTCAGTCGATGTATGTACTGAAGCCCCTGGCAGCAGGCTATTTGAAGTTAGGTGAGTATGACATCATCATGCTCACCTAACTCAGCAGTATAAGATATATATATATATATATATATATATATATATATATACACATACCTACACATGTATTAGTCTTTTATTTTATTTTGCATTTAATGTTTAGATATGGAATGACAACAACTGCATCATTTCTGATTGAAAAAGGAGCAAATGTTATGTTTAAAAATAATTATGGAACTACAGCATTGCACTATGCATGTAGGCGTGGTAATAAAAAACTTTTGCTTAAGATTCTTAGCATTCCAAATGTAGATATAAATGTTCAAGACATTAATTTGGTAATTATTTTATTTTGATTTGCATCTAAGTATTTTTTTTATTTGTGTACTTATAATGATTAACAACATTTTAATCTCAGCAAATGTCTTATGTGGTTTAGTTGTCAGTAGATATCTTTGTTGTCATAACTTTTTCATTTATGTATTTGTTGAATAGGATTTTTTAATAATGGTATTCAAGAAAAATTTCAAAATTATTTATGAAAACAATTGTTTTAATGATATTTTAATAAATATTTTTAATGTACTTTTTTTTTTGTTTTACTTTATTAAACAATATGAATGATTTTAAACAAAATTGTGTGTTTATTTTAGAATACTCCGCTTCATCTTGCTATGAATGGTGGTTGCATAAGGGTAGTAAGTACTCTTATAAACTATGGAGCAAATGTATTTGCTATAAATAATAAAGGGGAAATTCCTATACATTATGCAGCTGCTTCAACTGTAGATAACATAAGAGATGAGCTGAATAAAGGAGGTAAGAAAAATAAGTAAAAAAAAAAGGTGAATAATATTTTGCAGCTCTTTAGCTATTGAAAACTGAGTACTATTTTTAAATTTTAAATTGAAATAAAAGAGTAAACAAAAATTATGAGCACATGAAAAATAAACAAAAACTTACTCTTTCTTGAATCACAAGATTAAGGTCTTGTAAATCATGTCAAAAATTTTTAAATCCACCCTGATAAACATTTATGTGTGTGTTGGTTTTTAAATCCACCCTGATATACATTAATGTGTGTGTTGGTTTTTGGCCAATAAAATGGAACAACAGTTGCAATAAAGTGTGTACAGAAAATAAATGTGAAAAAATAAATACATCATTTTGTTTTAGTTGTTATATTAATATTTTTAATTGTACTTTGTATAAAACATGTTGTGGTTTCAAAAAATGTTATATTTTTTTATTCAACTTGAAGTTAATTTTTAAAATGACAAAAGAAGAATACGTTAATATTCCAAAAAATCCCAATACTAGTAACAGTTTAAAAGAATTTAAAACTCCAATACAAGCTACTTTTTTTTATCAAAAGAGTTGCAAATACATCCCTACATCATTTGTCGTGTTATTCAACATTTTTCTCAAGCAAAGAAGGTAGAAGATTTTCATGATATAAAATTGGTTAGAAAACTGGTTAACAGTTTTAAGATTAACTGGGTCTCTCAGTAGATGTACCTGCAGAAAGATAAAGATTTTCTTATTGTTTTGTTCTAAAAGTTCGAAATAAAAATGGTCTTTATTCTTTCAAATCACAAAAAGTGCCTAATCATTCTGAAACTCAAGAAAAAAAAAGGTGCAATAACCTGCTGCAGAAAGTTGTATGACAGTTTTATTTTGAAAAGTTTCTGTTTTATTCAAGAAATTTATATCAAGTACAATCATTAGCAAGTTCCTGGTGAAATTAAATAATAAAAGTATGAAATGATAAAAAAAATATATATATATATGAATTTTTATTAATTCTTTTACTATGCCAAATATAAAGAAAAAGCAGATAAGAAATTTAAATACACAAGTTTGTTAAAAAAAAGCCTTGATTGGCAAGCTATGTGTAGTTTGACAAAAAAAAAACAGCAGCTTATATTTTTAAGTCTACACTTTCTGATCATATATATGTTAAACAGTGTTTTCAAACTTTTTTTACCTCTCATCAAGGCACATGATAATAGACCTGCGTGCTGGCCTGATTTAGCTTCAAATTGTTATTGTATTATAAATTATTATAACTGGCTTTGAAATGGTATAACAAAATGTGAAAGTTGTGTCTGAAACAGTAATTCCTTATATTTTTAGGTATTTTTTTCATGTTATGAATAATATAGAACTTGACTTATTGATATATAGTTGACAAACAAAAAGTTTATTTAACAATGTTTATGTTTTCAACGACAAAAATAACATAAATACATGTCAATGAAATTTTTTGCTAGTTTTCTTAATAACAACAACTTGTTAACAAAATTTTAGTTAAAAATTTTTTGAAAGTCCTTTTTAAAAATAGAACTAATATAAATCATATTGGTAAAAGTTATGAAATTAATTTGTAATTTAAGCATCTAATTTGGATCTAAAAATTTGCATAAAATTTAATGCAAATACTGGAAACAGATTTAAAAAATGATGGAAATCATTTTGATGTGATGATGATGATGATGGTGATGATGATGGTGATCTTTATTTTATAAATATCATTTTTAAAATAAAGATCAAATACCAATATAAAATGAAAATCTAAAACACTTGTTCGGCTTTTTAAAGTTATAAGGCAAAATATTATGCTACAGTTTACTAGACTGTGAACTTCTCCTTGTGAAGTGCATACAACCTTATAACATTAAATACATATGTTATGTGCATGCAAGTTTCCAACATATTCACTCATTCAATGAGAAAACATGTTGGAAACTTGTATAACAAATATAATTAAAGCATATTTCAATAATATTTTTTAATATTTAACTTTTATTTTTCTATTTGGTTAAAAAAAAATTAAATTACCAACTTGCTACAAAAAATGATTGATTGGATTATTCTGTAAGGAGTTCCATTTTGTGTATAAATACAGTATATACAAGAGCATTTACAATTTGCAGTTTGTTACAAGTTGCAATTTGTTAATAATAAAGCGTTTATAGGACCTAAAATCATAATTATCATTTGTAAAATAGGATATTTTTGAAAAACCCAAATATATTTAGGCTTTTTTAAGGTGGATTTTTTTGGGTTGGGTTTTTTAGCTAACCCTGGATATATATATATATATATATATATATATATATATATATATATATATATATATATATATATATATATATATATATATATATATTCATATAATTTTTAGATTACTTTGTCTTAGAAGAAATCAGTAATAAAACTAAAGCTTTGCAACATGTTCCTTCATCAATTGTTGAAGATCTTATTGAGTTACTTATCAAAGGAGGTTAAGTTTTTAAACAATCTCCTGTTGTTAATGTTATGCTTTTTAAGTAAAATAGTTTTTTTCTATGAAACAGTTGTTCATGTAAAGTTCTTTTCATTTAGCTCTCAAAAACGTTCCCAAAGATAAACATGAACAACAGAGAAACGCATTTGTTAACAGTAAAACCAAAGAGAATCACACACCTTTGCATATTGCAGCATGTTGTGGTAATGAAAAATCATTACATAAATTGTTGAGAGTTGGTGGAGATGTCAACGCTCAAACAGATTCTGGCTTAACTCCTTTACACTTTGCTGCTATGAGTGGGCATGAAAGAGTAGTAAATTTTTTAATAATGTATGATGCTAATATTCAAGCAGTTGATAATGACTTAATGACTCCATTGCACAGGTAAGTTGAAATTTAATAATTCAAAATGTTATATAAAAGGTGTTTTATTTTCTCTTTTTTTAATCTTTCATTATTGTGTTAGGTTTATTTTATATTTTCAATATTGTGACTTCAATTTAAAATTTTTCTTTATGGCACATTTTGTTGTGATGATTTAATTATATTTCCTCTAAACAAATAAAAATTTGTGTTTTTTTATAAGGGCTTGTCTATTTGGACGATTATCAGTTGTTAAATTATTAGATGAGAAAGGAGCTTTACTTGAAGTTAAAGATAAAAACAACTTTACTCCTGTTATATGTGCTGTGTGTAAGGGTCATATTGAAGTTATAACATATCTGATTGCTAGGGGTGTTCAAATTAATTCAACTGATGTTAACAATAAGAATGCTCTTCATGTTGCAGTTAAAGAGAACCAATTAGAAACTTTAAAGTTTTTATTGGATAATCATCAATTTAAAAAGATGAATGATTCAGATAAAGACAATAGGGCACCTGTGCATTATGCAGCAGCTGATGGAAATCTTCAGGTTTTTTTTTATCTTCGGTAAACTAAGAAGTTTTAAATTTTGATTTTTTATCACCATATTTAATAATTGTGCATTTATTACAGGCATTGGAATTTTTAATTCAAAAAAATGCTCCAATTGATGTTGGTGATAATCAAGAAAGGACTCCTCTTCATTTGGCATCTGAGAAGGGTCACTTATCTTGTGTAAAACTTCTCATTTCTACATCTGCTGGAGAAATTAACTCTACTGATGCCCATGGAATGACTCCGCTTCATTTAGCTGCATCAAATGATCATAGGTAATTTTAAGTACTATAGATGATAACAATAAAACCAACATAGCACAGGATGGTGAGGATCATGATAATTATGATGACAATCATGATCATCATCATGCATAAATTATATTCATATTTTACAGTATAACATAATTTTTACAGAAAAGTAGTGAATCTCCTTATTGAGTCCGGTGCTGATGTTTCTTTACGTGATAATTGTGACTGGAGCCCTTTAGATTATGCTGCAAAAAATGGTCATGAAAAGAGTCTGCAAATTTTACTTGAAAATGGTGCTTTTATTAATGCTTGTGACAAAAATGGTTATACACCTCTGCACCATGCAGCACTTGCAGGACATGTTGAATGCATAGTTGCATTACTAGATCAGGGTGCTAATATTCAACTACTAACTAAGGAGAGAAAAAATTGTTTATATCTTGCAGTTGAGAACTCAGAAAGAGAAGCTGGCATGGCGATTGTTAAGCACAAAAGGTTTCTGCTTATTTTTATTGTTTTGTATTTATTTTTGATTTTGTATAGATAAATTTTTTTTTTTTTTTTAATTTTTCTAAACATTAGTTCTATTATATTTTAAATTTAGTAACAAACATACCTAAAAAGCTATCACATTGTAACAAACATACCTAACCTATAAACATACCTAAACATACCATTGTAACATACCTAAAAAGCTATCACATGTAACAAACATACCTAAAAAGCTATCACATTTTTTTAAAAATTTTTCAGATGGCATGAAGCTCTTCTCAATATAGATAGCAAAAGAGCTCCTGTTATGGAAAAAATAATCGAACTTGCACCTGAAGTTGCAGAAGTTGCATTAGATAATTGCATTACTTATTCTGATCTTGATAAAAAACATTCTGATTATTCAATTGAATACAATTTTCAATTTGTAGATACTGACCCCATAAACAGTTTAAATTCTTTTTTTGCACCTTCTTTGATTGTTCAATACAAACGTGGGAAATTGTTGAGCCATCCTCTAGTTGTTGAGCTTATTAATCAGAGGTGGTCTCGAATGGGTCGGTGGGTGTACTTATCTTCACTAAGTTTTTATTTAGTGTTTGTTTCACTTCTTACAGCACTTGTGGTTATAGAAAGAATGAGGTATGTAGTTTTTGTGATTTGTTTTCTGGCTTATTTGTAGATAAGAACAGAGACATCATAGTAAGATTGTAAAATAATGTTTTATTTCATAAAATCTTAATATAAAAGTGAGACATTTAAATAATGACTTTTCTTTTAAATGTTATTTGGAATTTTGTTTGGTATTGGTATCAAGAAAATTTTTATATTTAAAGAATAACAAAAATGATTTTAAAATTTAGTTTAAACAAGCAACCAACAAAAATATGCTCGGGAAAGAAATTTACTGACATAATTACATGGTCGACTCTCGGCATTGCATGCATACAAATTTTATGGAAATTGATATTAACTATATATATTGGAATAAGTTATATAAACAATCCAGTTAAAATATTAGAATTTTTTTTATACATTTCAACAGCATTGTTTATGGTTCCTTTTATTACTTGCCAATTTCATTTGAAAATGACAAATTTAGAGTCTATGAAATGGCAATCTGGATCACTTTCAATTTTACTTGCATGGTCAAAAATACTGTTATATTTAGAGAATTTACCATTTATCGGTTTATATATTGTCATGTTTACTGAGGTAATATTGTATTATAATATTGTTGTTAAAATGATGATGATGATGATGATGATGATGATGATGATGATGATGATGATGATGATGATGATGATGATGATGATGATGATGATGATGATGATGATGATGATGATGATGATGGCAATTATAATGATGATCATGATCATCATCATAATCATGATAATTTATGTGCAATGCAGTTTTTTTTGTGTTTGTTGAAATGTTGTAATAAACTAAATAAACTTTCACCATAGGTCCTTTACACATTACTAAAAGTTTTATTGGTTTTTGGCACTCTTCTAATTGGTTTTGGTTTATCTTTTTATGCACTACTTGATCTTCAATCAGCATTTAGTGATTATGGGCGCTCAATTGTCAAAACATTTGTCATGATGCTAGGTGAAATAAGCTACGACTCTATCTTTACAAATAACTACTCAGATGAAAATAGTCATCTTCTACCTAATTTAGAAATATCTATTGTCATTTTTCTTCTATTTGCTATGATAATGATAATTGTGGTTATGAATTTGCTTGTGAGTTTTTTTTAGTTTATTGTGTTTATATAATTTTCTTTTTCAGATTTTTAATTTTTTTTTGTTTTGTTTTATTTATTTTTTCGGATTTTTTTTTTATGACAAAATTTTATTAGTAAATACAACTTTTAATTATAAATAGTAGATATTTTTTTACTAATTCCTTTTTTTTTCCTTGTATATATTGTGCTTAACCTTTTTTTTTCAAAGTTATTTGTTTATGCTTAAAGAATTTGTTGCATGATGTTCAAGTTGTTCAGTAATTCAAATAAAGTTAAACTCAAAGGTGGTTTTTGACATTCAGTTGTTTTTAAACAAACAACACATAATGAAAATAGTGTACATGTAGCTAGCTACTGTAGAAGTTGCAAGAGGTCTATTTGTTGTAAGCCTTTGAAGTTTTAAGCCTCTGAACTTTTAAAGTGCTCTAAGAAAGCTCTGTTTTTTTTTAAAGAGAGAGAGAGCTTTCTATTGGTTCTTGGCTCTTGTTAGTTTTATTGGTTTTATTGGCTTTTGCTTCATTTGTTTCATTTACATTAAAACTCCCTACCAAAATACTCAACTTATTTTTTCACACTGCAATCTTTTTTGTCAAGTGTTTTTCTGAGTTATATGGTTGAGAGAGGGTTGTAACAATGTATTAACATACAAAATATGTAAAGTTTTACTTATATATCTTTTGATATACCTTGTGCTTTTCATATTTAAAAAATATTGACATAACTTATATTTTTTCATATTTAAAAAATATTGACATAACTTATATTTTTTCATATTTAAAAAATATTGACATAACTTATATTTTTTTATTACTTAGAGCAAGTTGAAATCTTTCAACTTCTTTTAAGTAATAAAAAGTGCAAAATTACTTCAAAAATGTAATAAGCGAAGAACTTTAAAGAAAATATAAGGACAAAGTTTTGAAAAATTTTAGTGATTTGATCTGAAATTTATTTAATTTGTTTTCTTAATTTTAGTTTAGCAAACTAAGTATACAAAAACCAACCTTAAAAAAATTTCTAAATTATTATAATATTTAAATTATTATAATATTTAAATTATAGAATATTTAAATCTTATTTAAAGTGCAGCCAATATAATATATAATATATAAAAATATAATATATAAAAATGTAGCTTACTTAAAAGGACGAAGTCTTTGTGAACAGACTAAAATGCAAAAATATCACAGGCTTAACTTGCACTATTTTTGTGAAAATAAGTATCAAATTCTGTAAATAAATATCAATAAATATAACTCAAAACAGTCTGAGACATAATAGGGTGGAAAAATATGGGAATAGGTTCTTGTTTAAAATTTTTAACCTTTGATATTTTATACTATTTTTTCTCTTTTTTTATTGGTAGGTTGGTCTTGCAGTTGGTGATATTGAATCAGTTCGCAACAATGCATATCTAAGAGTTTTACAGAGACAAGTTTATTTTTTAAGTATTTTAGATCGAACCTATCCTAAATTTATTCGAAAATTTGTGTATAAAGCTTCTTATATACAAAAACCTAATCAAAAGAGTTGGTTTAAAAAGTATGATTTTTTTTTTTTAACTTTTTTTTTTTTTAAACATCCTCGTGTAAAATATGTTCCATTTGTAAACTTCTTTTAAAAAAAATTAAGGTGAATAATTTTTTTTTAATATCTATACATTTTGTAAATGCTTTAAAAGCAATATTTACTATAGTTGTATTATATTCCTTATGAATTGTTTGTCCGTCTTTAAACAAGTCTCCCTGAGTCTTTTCTGGTCCTTAAAGTAAACATTTCTTTATAAAATGTTGATGTTTTATAAGATGTTGAAAAAAACTTTATAAAGTGTTGATGTTAATATAAATATGTTATATGAATAATACAAATAATATGTATTCCACATTCACTCATATTCGAGCTCTTTACCTAAGCAATGGCTTCAAGCTTTGGTTTCCCCCATCTTTAAAAAATGATCCACCTCAGATGCTAATAATTCTAGACTCAGCTCACATGTACCACTTGTCGTGTTATGGAAAGTATTATTAGTTGAAAAATTGCTGACTGATTTTAGTAGTAATAATCTAATAATCTTTAATCAACACGGTTTTTTATCTAAATGATCTTGCAAGTTCTCTTGAGTCAACAATTGAAAAAAACTTTAGACAATCATTTAACTCACCCATAAGTCATAAATTCGCTGTCAAAGCTATCTAGCATTATAAGTGCAGTTCCACAAGGGAGCTTCTTGGGTCTAACGTTAATCTTATTATATGTTCTTTTATGCTATGTGCTGACGATGTTAAACTATATAACTCATTTAGGGATACAGATCATAGTCACAACCTAGCTGTTGCCATCAACAAATTTTTCTCTGGTCAGAAAAATGACAGTTAAAATTTGCCAGCAGTGTTTTGCACTAAGAATAGCAACTGCTACCCTTTTAAACATTTCAAATTTCAATTATAAACTAGGAATTCATAATTTAACATAAAATTTAACATAAAAAATCCAAAAAACCTTGGTGAGACTATTAACTCTTTTCTAAATTACAAAAATCATATTTTAAATGTTTTCCGCAAACATCCAAACATATTTAATACTTAAGTGTTTTAAAAGTCGTGATCGACGTGTCACATAAAAATGTTCGAAATCGCAAAATGGTTCACGTGTTATCGTTAAAACCTTTACTACTTACATAAGATTTTAGAATATTTCTCTCCGGTCTGATCACCCACCGCACTGTAGTGATTTAATAAATGCAGTCGAAAAAGTCCAAAGACTCGAGTAAATTTTCATATTTTTACACACTTTCAATACTCGAATTAGAACTACTCAAAATTTGTCGTCTAAAACAAAACTTAATTTCATGTTACAAAATTCTAGACAACTTAGTTTGTCTTCATGTATTGAATTTCATTTTAGTTAACAATTATGAATATACTCGAGGGTAAAAACTTAAGTTACGCAAATTAAAGTGTCAACTTAATGTTCGTACTTTATTTCTTAATTTTGTAACCTTTCTAGTGTTGTTATTGTTGTGGGGCATGCTGTCAGCGTCTTTATTTATTTTTTTGAACCTACTTGCCTTTAGAGCATAAACTCTTGCATGCTTAATACAAAAAAGGGGGAAAATTTAGTCCAGATTTAATAAAAGGAGGGGGGGGGGGTCTTAATTATAGGAAATTTTTAAGAAAAACAAATAAAACAATTTAATTTATCAACTAATTGTAGCTTGCGGTCAAATGCGCGTTTTTTAACAGCTGTTTTATCATAATTTTAATAGAACTTAATGTGGTTATATAAGTTCTATACTGTGTTGGCAAATAAACGAAAAACTTTTGACAAATCGAGATTTACAAGATTAAGATTTTTAAAGACTGATTTTACTAAAATTATTTATTCTTGTAATTGATTGAAATAATTTTTGTTTTTTGTTTTTTTTGTTTTTTTTAACAACAAGCGTAAATTGATAAAAGGGAGGGTTTAATAGCTTGGAGTAGGTGGGGAAATTTTCCAAAAATGAATAAACGTTCCCTCCCGTGTATTAAGCACCTAAGAGTATTGCTATTCTAATAAATTTAAATCAATCAACGTTTTATGAAATGTTGAAAAAAAATATTAAACCATATTTATTTGTTCATTGTTGTTTAATTAAAACATTTAAATATTTTTATATTTTGCTTTATAGATAATTTTGATTTAAAATCTCAAAAACAAAATTTATCTAATTTTTATAATTTTAGCTTTTGCTTTGTTTAATTTATTTTATCCGATAACTCTATTTTAATTTTATTTGTGTCATATATACCTTTATAAATGTTGATAACTTAAAGTTTTTGTTGTTTGTACGTTTTATTACTTTGTTTAAAGGTTTATCCTATGGTTGGGTAATTTTCAAAGGAAAGCATTGGAAGAAGAACAAACAGATGCAAAAAAAGATTTAATAATGCTTGAAATTGCATCTAATAAGGAAGCAATAATAAAGCAAAAAAAAAAGACTAAATCGATTTTAGACGATCTCGAAAAGCAATTGAAAAGAACTAAAAAAATTGCTAAATTCATTGCAACAAGTTCTTCGTTCAAAAACAAAGTTGATTGAAATGTTTTAAAAAGTTCAGTCATGCAACATTAGCAAAATTAATTTTTACTTTAGCTAACCAAAAAGGTTAAATTAAAACTCGTAAATTTAATTTATATTTATATATATTGTTTTAGTATTTTTATGTCTATATATTAAATATATTTTTATGAAAAAGTGTTTGGTTTAATCACGTGATAATTTTGAATATAAATTACATATTTTTATTTTCTGTTTTTAGTAAATTTTTATATATTTAATTTTATTTATAGTTAACTTTATTTAACTTTAGTTTTTTTATTTTATCTTTATATTTAAATATTAAAATCCTAAACACAACTAAAATGTTTAAAACTTTTTTAAACAATTGAAACGTTTTTGTTTTTTTTTTAAATTTTGTTTTGAAGTAATTGTAAAAATAAAAATTTATTTATTTAGCCTTGTAAAATAAATATAGTTATGAATTTGAAAACCACTGTCACTTAAAAGTCTCAAAGTTTGTAAAGATTTTGTTGTGTTACTATTGTATAAGAATGACGTTGGGTTGATTTTAAAAAAATCACACCCCAGCACAGTGCACTATGCGTCGCTCTGATACAAAATGAGGAAATAGGCTTATAAATAAGGAAGCCTTCAACATATTGAGCTGATTTTTTCACAAGACATAAAATTTTTGTTTATATTTCTATATTTAAAAAAAAATATATCCGGTTTTCATAAAAAAACAGTTTACTATATTTATTTAGGTTCATCCATATTAATTTCTGACTAATCCGGAAAAGTACAAATGCCCGGATATTTTTATTCAAAAAAAGTTAGGTGCCGATATTTTATAGAATTTTACAAACTATATCATTAAGACGATTTGTTAATAAACAATATCATTAAATATAAACTTATTAAAATTATAAACAAATCTGCTTTCATCTGATTCTTTGTTCTCTAGTTTCTTACAAAGTTTCTCAACTTTCTAATAGATGTTTTTAGTAACTTGTGGCTGTGAAAATAGCCGTTTGTAAAAAATTTAACGCAGAACAGCTTATCAGTATAACACTTCATGATATAGTTCATGATATAGATCTTCAACAGTTCATGATATAGATCTTTTTAGATTGGTTAGTTATTGGTTAAAAAATGAGTAAGTCTCGAAACAACTTATACTGATTTAGGTGCTCATTGTGGTACACTATAAATAATTAAAAAAATACATTAAAGCATATACAACACCAACAAAAATGTCAAACTTAGAAGTATTTTTGTGAAACGTAGTAAAAACAATTTGTGTGTGTCTATATATATATATATATATATATATATATATATATATATATATATATATATATATATATATATATCGTCAGTATACAAGGGAAATGCAGTCTATTTTTGGCAATATTAAGTTATTTATACTACTATTTAGTATTTTAAATTTTCTATCGTTTGATATACCATACAAATTTTTGGAATTAGTGTATTTCCCTTATTTACTGACAATGTATATATATATATATATATATATATATATATATATATATATATATATATATATATATATATATATATATATATATATACATATATATATATATATATATATATATATGTGTGTGTGTGTGTGTGTGTGTGTGTGTGTGTGTGTGTGTGTGTGTGAAGTAGTAAATCACTTTCTCTTAGTATACGCTCACTCTGCTTGATAAGTTAATTACCCTGTTTAATTAGTTTTATTTGCTGTTAAAATCAAATATTCTAGGTTAAGAATTTTTGTTCTTATTATAAGAACTTGATTCTTATTTTAAGAGCCTGATTTTTATTTTAAAATTCCATTCTTATTTAAGAATATTTTAATAAAAAACATTGTTTCTTATTTTATAATATAAAAACATTTTGTTTGTATATATATATATATATATATATATATATATCAGTGACGGATCCAGGGATATTTGGTATGGGCGGAAGGGGTATGTTGTAATATTTTTGTATTTTGTACCATATTTTTGTCTCCAAAAAAAATGGTCCTCAATTTCTATGATACTTATTGGACTTTCAGGTTTTGATAGGGAGGGGGGTGGGAGGGGATCAGTATCGTCCTTTTCCCATTCATCGGTATCGGCATCGGCCAAAAAAGTGATATCGGTACATCACTAGTGGGTTGTAATTGTAATATTTGAGGTATATGTTTTTGTATAAATTGTGATTATAACTTTGTAAGAGAGAAGTTCTTATTGAGTAAAGAAAAGAAAACATCTTGACTTAATTTTTTCTGAGAGAAAACTACTCATACATACACGAATATATGAAATATATGTGTGTTTTCTTTTTATAAATTGCAAGTTTCTAAATACATGCAAAATAAAGTAAGTAAAAAAAACATTGTTTTTCAATTAGTAAATTTAATATTAATAATTAATTTTATTTTTTACATTGTTTTATCCTTATTTTAATTAATTTAATTATAGCATTTTAATTTATTAACCTGGGTAAATAAATTTCCATATAAGAGAGTTGATAGAATTGCAACAGTTTTAGAAAAATATTCATGTTTCTCTAATGTGACAGTGTTAAGATTTTTTTATTTTTCATTTGTGATTTCATATTTTTATTGGAAAAAATCTAATTCAAAATCATAAATCCTTTCTAAAGTGAGGAGGTATTTTTTTAAAACTGCCATGTCTTCTGATGGGTTATTCTAAAAGTTTTCTCTGTTTTTTAAAATTGTATGCTTTTTTTATTATTTAATTCAGATTGTTGGCGAGAAAGCTCGTGTATTAAAGTCTTCTGTCACAGTTGACTCAGCAAGAATCAATTTGACTGAAGACATTGACACACTTTTACATTATGGAATACACAAGTTGGTAGTGCCCCCCACCCTTCCCCATGCCACCCAAATATAGGAAAGTATGCATGCATACACAACCCTCAGAGTTAGTAAAACTAAAGTGAGTAATAAAGATCGCACCTTAAACTGTTCGCATCAGATTACAATTGGCAAACATAAAACCTTTTTCACATAGGTTTCACCATAAAAGATAAAAAACAAGGTCAGCAAAAAATAGCCAACCTCAGGCACTTTTAGGTTTTTGCTTGGTTAGGGTTAGGTAAAATAATGTATTGAAATCAATTAATAATTAATAGTTAAATAAGGAATATGTTTTTAGATACTATACTGAAGCAATTACTTCATTAAGTGTTTAACTTAAGTTAGACACTTGATGAAGTAATTGCTGCAATTATTCCCAAATAAAAGTTCTAAGAAAAAAAAGGCTAAAACTGGACATACAGTTTTAAAAAAAGCTGTAAGTTTGTATGATTTTTTAAAAACACTTGAATATATATATATATATATATATATATATATATATATATATATATATATATATATATATATATATATATATATATATATATATATATATATATATATATATATATATATATATATATATATATATATATATAGTGCGCGAACTACTGATAGTTGTAAGTTTTTGTTGTAATAAAGTTTCTCAAACAGCTAATTCCAGTTACAGCTATCGAAAGCCTTTTTTGCGTCTAAACTACAAACTACAGACCGGCGAGTTATTATTGTTATAGTGTTTTAATATCTCACTCAATAGAAACTCTACATGCAGGGTGGAGCTATTTTGATTAAAACTAAATTGACGAGAGCGGCTGTTTGATATTTCCGGACATACTTGCATGATAATATATTCAAAGAGTTTTGTCAAGATAGGTTTGATACTAATACCGCGATAGTTATCTAAATTATTAGTGCAGTGGTCTGAAAAACTTGATTTTTGGCCAAAATTTAAAAAAAAAATCTTTAATTTTTTTTATTATTATTATTTTTAAACACAACATTATCTAGGCTATTCAAAAATGTATAGGTTTTATATTTTTTATGGAAACAAAAGTCAAAACCGTATTCAAGAGCTTAAAAATCGATTAATAATTTCTTGCAAAAATACAACATTTTTTTCATTTGTGTAAACAATTTAAATATTCTTTGTGTAAATAATTTAAATGTCAATAAATACAACAAGTTGGTTATACTCAACGTAAAAAATTGAATAAAACAGTAGCTTGTTTTACTGATAAGAAGCTCCTTATTCGTGAAAGAGCAAAGCATTTACCAATCACTTTTCCAAATAAACTTTTAATATGATCATTAAATTTCTGGTCCTTATCAATTGTAACCCCGAGAGGTTTAACCTTAAAGGAAACCATGATTTTTACATTTCCAACCATTAAATATCTGGTATTTTTGTTTAATTCAAATAATTGTGTGTACCACAATTATTTTAATTAAAAAAATATATATAATTAAAAAATTTTTTTTAATTAAATTACACTTTTGTATTTTTGTTTCTCATGTGTTATCCTTATTACAATTTTTTGTATCGTGATTAACAGGAAAAAAAAGATTTTTTTAACATTTTTTTTTATATTAAATTTTTACAAATAATTAAATTATGTTAAACAGTGTGTAAGTGGCGGACAAAAAGGTAAGAAAGGGGGTGGTATTCAAGGTATCTTTCCCCTTCCCCTACCTAAGAAATGTCAAACTTCAAAATACTATTAATAAAATTAAAAAATAAGAAAAAATACAAAAAAATTTATATAACCATTCAATATATTTATTTTTACTAATTATCTTATAACCTTTCTAAAGAGATTCCCTTGGAGTCCAAGGGAATAGTTCTGCAATCATTAAAGAGAGTTTTTCATATAATTCTCCAAAGGAAATTGCTTGTGATGTAATCGTTAATAATTATTCCAAGCGAGGATTAGAAATGGTTATTCAAAGAAAATTAGTTTTGTAACTATCATTAAACAGGGCCGACGACACCGGGGGAAGAGAGGGGGCATTTTTTTCTATAGGACCTTTTTTTTTTTTAAGAAAAATCTTGATATAGAGAACTTTTTTCACAAATTGATGATTGTGCCCCCCCCCCCCACTTCAAATTTTTAAAAATGTTAATCCCAGGAATGTCAGGAATTAGATATCATATTGATATCAAGATGATATCAAAATATAATATATATTATATCATCATACGAGACGTTTATGGTATCAAAATGAAATCACTTATTGATATCATTTTGAACTCAAACCCTGATATCATAATATGAGAAGTTTATGATATCAATATGATATCAAAATGAAATCACTCATTGATATCACTCTGAACTCAAAAATTGATATCAAAATATGAGAAGTTTACCCAAAACTTGTTATCATAATAGTTCCGCTACATTTATTTTATTTAATTATATTTTAATAAAAAAAAATTTTATTATTATTTTAACTAATTATATTCTTATAAATAATATTTTATAATTATTTTAAAAAATTTTCTATTTATTTAGTAAAGTTAAATTATATCAGATAAATAAACATTTTTGGTGAAATTGGTAGATGTCGTATTATATATATTTAAATATAAATTCAATATTATATTACACAACGCTTCGAAAAAAAGTCAATATTTAGTGATATTTTTTTGAAAAAAATAATAGGCAGCAAATATTCAGGTAAAGCCTTAACAAAAAGAAATACAGAAAATGTCCAAATTTGTAGAAAGATCTTTGACAGATATATATTCAGAGAGATTGAGATATGAGCTCGGCTATAGCATCGCTTTAACTTTATAATTGGGTTTTCGACAGATATACAGACTTGATCTTAAAAGTCACTTTTTGAATGTTGCATTCTACTTCTTTTCGAAATAAAATTTAGATTTATTTATCGTCTGAAAACAACGTTGCGAGCTGAAAATAATAAACAAAAATATCAGCCGCCTAAATTATTGACTAAATATTAACAAAATAAAAATGATTTTTACCTTATCAACAAATTTGTCTTATATTTAGCTTTTTAATTTTTTTTTTCTGATAAGAGTTATTGCCATCCACACAAGCTTTGTTGCTTTGCAATTCAAATTGCAGTAATAAACCTAGAAAACCTAGAAAAAAAATAAATAAATAAACTTTATATCTCAGACATACAAAATCATTGAAGAATGTTGCAAAATTAGTTCAGTTTGTATAAGTTTACAGTAAAAGTTGAAAACTAGGTCTACCTTACCTTTACCTCAGTATTCAAAAAACACTAATAAGCAGTCCCTAAAAGTTTCTAAAAAATTTCATATAACTTAACTTCGTTCAAAAAATTCAAAATGTTTAAATGATTTGTTATTTTAAAATATAAATATACAATTAGCAACAGTAAATAAAGCTTGTGGGTCCAATGAAGTAGATATAAATAAACTTTGTTCTGAAAATTTATCAGTACCAAATGGTACTATATAATTGACAGTGCTGTCAATTATATAGCAATAAAGTTTAACAAATAGTATATATATATATATATATATATATATATATATATATATATATATATATATATATATATATATATATATATATATATATTCTTATGACATTAAATACTATTTTATTAGAAGATGTATTTAACATTTAACTTAAAAATTAAACAAAATCAACACTTAAACAACACTTAAATACAAAAAAAACATTTAATAAAAATTAAATAAAATCATCCAGTCGCGAGGCAACAGCTTTCATCATTCTTTGCATTATATTTTTTTTTTACAAAATGCTGCTCTTGATAATTTCTTTAAGTCACCCAGTATTCTGAGCTACTACTTGAGAAGGATATTGTATTATTCTTTTTATAGCTGATATCATAAGCTAAATGATTTAAACAATGAAAGTTATAAATTAATAGATGATCAGAGTCGAACACTCTGACATTGTTCTCAAAGCAACAAAGAAGTTCATGAACATAACCTTATTGAGTCAATTAATCTTTTCTGTGCAGTTTATGTTCAGTATAAGCTACACTTAAACTAACAATTAAAAAATGGATGTATTTTTCTTTGCTGAGTATATGATTTAAAACCACTTACCCACAATATAAAAGAAAAGTTAGCAATATAAAAGAAAAATATATATTTTAAACTTGGTTTTACAACTTGGTTAGGAACTGCTGCACCATATCTACTTTAAGTGACTCCAAGACACTGATATCCTTGTGATGATTTTTCGGATATTTTTTTCCTTTAAATGTTTTAGCAGTGAGTACCAGTAGGCATAAAAATTCATTAAACCATCATAGGTTTATTTCACCTTACAATCACATCCATATTGACCATAATAGAGATTAAATAAGAGCTTTAGCTGGTGCATCACAAATTAAAATAATCTACCTTTTACTTATATGATTTTTCCATTATTTTAAATAATGTCACATGCCATGAGGGGTCTTCCATAAAGTATGGATGCAGGTTTGGGAAGTTTACCCAAAAATTTATGAATGCGTACAAAAGAGAGAGAGAGAGAGAGAGAGAGAGAGAGAGAGAAAGAGAGAGGGAGAGAGGTTAACAAAATTTTAGATGCATGGAACTCAGTTTTAATTAAGGTGTAACAGCTAAAACAGCTTTTAATTAATAGCTGAGTAGCAATCAAACTTAACTGCTATAATACTATAACAAATAGAGTGCAAAAGAACACGTTCATTGGGTCTGTCTAACACACACGGCTGTTTCACGTAATGTAAAGTTGGGCATTATTTCACGTAATGTAAAATTGGGCATTAGTTTAGCAAAAAAAAATTTCCGCATAAAAAGTTTTTTAAAAATTTTGGCATATAGAGTATAAAAACTCAATAACTTTAAAGTAATAGCTTTTTTTTTCTATAAACGCTTTTGTGTTCTAATAAAAAAAAAAATGAAACATCAATCTTTCCTTGTTAAATAAATATTTTTATTAAACGGAATAAAAATTAAAGTTGTAAAAATATTACTAATGATTTGGGATCATTTTTTTGCATTATTGTTTTTGTTTTTACTTGCTTTATATGAAAAACGTTCAAGTTTTGTTATGCCCTCCAAATTATTGAAATTTCAAACCTTTATACACATGAAAATCAAAAAAATTACTTTCTGTGCTTCTAACTAAGACGTCTTCAGCTTGTTGCTTTTAGCAACAAAATATGTAGTAAAACATCCGTAAAATGTTTGTTTACATTTTAAAGCAATGACGTATCTTTAAATGCGTTACTTCCCACTATGTAATTAAATTCACTATGTAATTAAATTTATTAAAACAGCTTTTTTAGCGAGACAAATTTTAATGTATAAATAAAACAAACTTTGGCGGGTTTTTTCTCTCGTGGCTAATCTACAAACATCAGATAAGCTCTGATATCTATTGCATACTTGTTATTTGTCAATAATTATTATTTAATTTTATTTGTTTGTATTATATCTTTATTGAGAAGTTTATATATCACTATGCATTCTTCTGAAAAGAAGATATTAATACTAAACATTGGATGAAAAAATAGCTGGGAAAATGAATGTAATTTTTCTTTTATTAACCGATTAATGAACACTAATAAAATCACTAACAACGTGATTTTAATTTTACTTAAAATCTTTCCATCTAAAACATTGTTTAGTTTTATAAGTTTTATTATGCTAATTGAGTTTAATTTGCCTATTATTAAAGACTTTGAAAAAATGTGCAAAAAATTATTAAGACAAAAAAAAGGTTCTATAAAAATTTGTGAAGCTTCTAAAAACGAAGCATTTTTTAATATGCAACTGTCTCCAGCTTCACAAACCAAAAAAAGAAAATCAGATTATTTTTCAATTTTAAATAGGAACAAGGAACTAAGTAGTCAAGTTGACCAATTAACTTGTAAAGAAGAAACTTATGTGGAGCAAATAAACAAATTAAAAATGTAGGTAATAAAGTTGAAAACTGAAATTACAGATTTAAATTCTAAAAACAAGACTCTTGACACACATTGTAACTCATTAAGTTCTCAAGTAGAGACTATGAGTATTAGGCTAGGAGAGGAGGAGCAGTTCCGACTTATTTTAAAAAGACAACTTAAAACAGCACATCGTAAACTTGCATCTGTTCGTAGCTGTAATTCATAATTACTAAAAAAAAAATTGCAGAAGAAAGCGTAAAAGTTGATACAAACCAGAACAGTTGCTAAACATGCAAATGTTTGGTTAGTGGTAAAAATTTAATTGCTGTGGATTCATATTTAGACTATAATAACATTGGTTCTTCTGAATTGTTTTCTGGGTTTAAGTGGAGTAAACCACATAATCCATCAGTTGATAGCCCAATAGTTGTTCAAAAACATATTTATATTAAGTTAAGCTGTGCTAAACGATATTCGAAGTTAAGTAGGCGTAGTGCAGCTAGACGACCTAAAGTTGCCTTTATATTCCTTCAATTGTTAGCTGGTTCAGATGTAAAAAGTGATTTGTGTATGTTGTTATGTGATGTCCTGTCACGTAAGCATTACAGTTTTAGTCATCTTAAAGAATTTTGTTTTTCTGGTGAAAGAATGTGATACAATATAGTTCTAACTGCGTGTAACAAGAGTGTTTATGCAACCTTGAGAATAAATCATTGGGCCAACTGATAAAAAAAATATCTTGCTAATTATTTGAGAATCCACAAAATAAATGATTCTAATAAACCTCTGCAGTTACACAACAGTTTGTTTCAGTCTGATCATAAAGACTTTCATTCATAAATAAACGAACACTAATACAAACCATCATAAATTGTTGAATGGGACATCATTAGTTAAACCTTACTCCAGAAGAAGCATGAAGTGCCAACATTTAAGTCAGTAAGATTATGAAGAATATTTTCCATTCGGAATGGAAATAAGTATTAATTGCATGCAAAGATCGTTTTCTACTTTTAGAACATATATAAATATATTAACTAAAAAAAAGTTATTTATGTCAATCCACCAAAACGAGTTATCAAATTATTTAAATTGCTTATATTGTTATGTATATTACAGAAAAGTATTAATATTTTGATATTGATCTAAGTGTCAAGAAATTATCCTACGACCGAAAACAAAAATAAAAAAAATTTTGCGATTTTTTTATTTTGCCTATTGTTGTGCCTGTATCAGTTCGCATTCGGTGTAAATAATGTTTATATGTTTTATAATTGGTCTAACTATGTTTATATTACATATTAGTCAACAGAGATATAATTTTTCTGATTATTTTTGCTGAAAAGTACCATTAAAATTCTGCCGAGTTCGTCATTTTGTGCGTTTATTTAAAAATCAGAGCAGCCTTGTATTATTATATTGAATGATAAAATATAAAACATTTATTCGGTGTTCATATTTTTCTTACAGAACGTATTTATCGTTAATATTTCAAAAGTTATGAAAGTTTTAGTATCACCCTCTAAGCAACTATTTTCAAAAAATAACAAGAAGCCGTATGTCCACTCTGAAACAGCCGTGCACAGCGTAAACTACTACTACTATTACTACTAGTATGTACTTAATTAACACGTTCATATTAGTATTTTAAATATGTTATTTAATTATATATTGTAAATATATGTCAATGAAAGCAAGTGATGCTGCTTGATTTTTTGCAATTACTAAAAATAATGTTATTTATAATCGTTATCTTAAATACAGATGTACTTTTTTAAGTAAGTAATAAAATAGCTAAAAAAAAAAAAAAAAATACTAAATTAACTCTGGAAAAGTTAGAGTGTTCTTGAATATTATCAATATATTCTGCAACATATTCGTATTAAAAATAAGTTATCAAAAACAAATATTTTACTCGTTAATTTTATTACCTTAAATGCAATATCTTTAAGCCATCTTGAAAGTAATAATCAAATCTTGTAAGACGTTTTCCGGCTAAGCAGTATGAATGTTAAGCAACTTGTATTTCACTATGTATAGCATGACAAACTCTTGATATCATAATGATATCATAATATAAGTTTATAAATCAAAACTTACTATTTGGAAATTAAAAGAGAAAAACTTAACTTTTACTGTGCTTTGTAACTATTATAGGAAATTCTGCTATAAATTAAGTTTATTTCTAAAAGTTATGATATCACTATGATACCATTATATGATATCATAGCTTGAGAAAGTTTTGATATCATTCTGATATCACATTGATATCGCGTCTTGGCTGGGAAGACATTAGAAAAAAATTAAAATCAGAATTGTGTTTTTTTTTCTAACTTCAGTTTTTTTATTTCTGACTTCAGAGAAAGAAAAAAACAAGTTAATATTGAAAAAAAACAATGCGTACGTACGCGGAGGGGAGGAGGAGTCTTTGAAATCGTACAGGTTTGTACAAGGGGGGAGAGGATCCTAAATCGGTGATTTTACAGCGTACGTATTTTATGGATGCCCTCCCCCCCCCCCCCCCTCAAAGGGAATTGTTTGAGATGCAATCGTTAATTATTATTTTAAACGAGTATTAGAAATGAATGT